AAAAAAAAAAAAAAACTTGTATACAAATTATATACTACTTTTTTTTATCATGTTTACTTAAATATTTACTCGAGTTAATTCTATTTATAAAAGTATATAAACCATAATATATATATATATAATTACTGGCAGATGCATTAAATAAAACTTATTTAAAAAAGCCTTCATAATTTCCCTGCTCATTTTTCAATTAATGTAGAAACATTACATTTTACATTAATAAAGTGTAATGACAATTTTAAACTAATTTATTATCTGATATTACTACTAACACTAATTAATTATAATTTTACATTAAATAGTATGTGGATGTTACATACTTATTAAAATTGTATTGCAGTTTTTTTTCTTCAAAATGTTTTTTTCTAAAATAAAATATTTTTGTCTTTTTAAACGATTTTATCTAATATTAGTTAATTTACTCGAGTATCATAATTAAACACCTTAAAATCATCTAGACAATTGCTATAACAATGATAAAAATAATTGTAATACTTTTCTAACTAATTAAATATATCTAGATTACTAAATTATATTGTCCATTAAAATTTATGGCATCAGTATAAATATTCGTAAGTTAAATGATTTATATTTACATTACACATTTGTATATAATCAAAATTTAAAATATCTATTATCTAATATAAAACTTTATATATTGTATGCATACTTATAATATATATATATATATATATATATATATGTATATATATTTTTGTGACCGTGCAAATGATGAATACTAGTAATTATTATTTACATTATTGAAACAACAGAGAACGCAGTCCCTTCACATTCGGAAAAGTAAAATAATTTTTTAGATCAGGCCAATTTGGCTGACTTCGAAAAGTCAACTTATTGTAATTTATTTCACGACCTTGTAAAATTTTAATTTCAATCATTACATAGTATTGTTTTACTTATTTGTTAGACTACTATTGATTGATATATGGTCATATTTAATTTAATTTAATTTAATTTAATTTAATTTGACTTTGTATATTATTATTATTATTATTATTATTATTAATTTTTTTTTAATCGATCCACCCAAGCGAAATTTGACGAGTCCCTAGGCCTAGCGCGTTGCTTTGTTCTTCCTGTCAAATAAAATTAAATTAATAATGAAAAAAAAAGAAGAGAAAAACAAATTTATTCGCCCAACTAAAAGAAGAAATCGAATAACGAACGGTGATTCCATTTCCCATCTTTTTTCTCTCTCTCTCCAAACAGAAATTTCAGTCCCAATTTCTTCTTCATTTGATTAAGAAATCAAAACATCCCGAGCCGATCATCGTATAATTTTAGCAGAAGATCCTCGATTTTTTTTTTTTTTT